GTCTATACCAGCCTCGTGTCTAAGATGTTGATTGGAATCGGTGTAGGCCTACCATGTTCGGTGTTCTTACGATCGGCAAAACATACACACACTGGCATTTTATTTCTAAAATTACGAAATCTTACCTGAACAATTGACCTTAACCAGGGAAATGTCTTTTTCCACGACTCATCAAAACCAGCCTCACGCCGTTTCTGTGTTTCTACACGCTACCGTTTCTGTGCTGTGCTAGCGGTGATTGTACGTTTTAGCCGGGCGGCATCACCTTTTTTTCCTTTACATGTTTTGTCATATAGCATCTCGGTGTTTGCAACTTGAGTGACAATTTGTTCCCCATTGACAGCGTCTGTACTTCACATGTGTTTAACAATGGGACTGTTTAATTCGTCCCGGCAAGTTCAAACCGCCGTGGCGTAGACTGTGATAATTTATGCAGTGCTACGTGTGAGCGGGTCAAATGGACGTAAACAATGCATCCTATTAGCATGGCGGTGAAGTTGTAAGCATGGCGGTCCGAGCCCAAGCGTGGCGGCCGGGTCGCCAAGCATGGCAGTGCCGCCATGCTTTGTTCTATGTGGGGAGAACACTGAAATCGTCATGGACATGTATCCTAACATGTATGATCTATGTACTAAATTTGAATGAAAACTGACAATGCATGTCCAAAAAATACGACATTTTCAAAAAACAAGATGGCTGCCAGATGGCCATTTTGAATCGAATCGCTAAACCACTGCATGTGCATATGTCCCACATAAAGTACTCGGCACATGCAAAGAATGAACGGAATTGGTCCAAGGGATTCTGAGATATGACTCCGGACGGCGCACAGATGCACGGACGGAGACCGAATTACAAGTACCCGTTTTCGAACTTCATCCGAACAAGGACTAAAAAAAACTTTTTCAGAAGAAAGTTCATTTACAATATTTATTGCATGTTACATCATGAAACATTTTCTATTTGTACTCACCATGCGTCCATAGATAAGTATTGGCAGGTCACACTTTGAACAGCAGTGTATCATGGGATCAACAACTTTCTCTCCAATCAGATCCAACTAAAAAACAATGTGTATATACAATATGCATACTTTTATTGTTACTGCATTCACACACGGTGTAATAAAATCTCTAGGGCTTTTATACCATATTCTTTTTTCAAAAAGAGGACAGTGTTTTTTTCTTTGGCCACAACATTTATCCCAGGTGTTACATCCCAGAAATACCTGCATAAAAGTTTTGTCCCATTTTAAAACAATTTTATAATTTTTTTTAATATCAGGATACGGACACATTTACTACACATTATCAATATTTCCAACAATATAGCGCCCTCTATAGACAAGTGGTCGACGCAATGTACTGTAAACCAATTTATTTTCCTTGCTATATATATTCTGGAAGTGAATTCTGTCAAAGTCACTGTGACTTACAAATCTAAAATACGATTTTCACAAATGTTTCTCTTTGAACAAATTGTCTCTCACAAAACTGAAGTGATTTACAGTAGTTTTACAAAGGCATTTTCAGGGTAGGGCAAAAAGTAATGTTTGAGCTTACAAATCACAGGTATTGATACCAACTGACATGATGACATTGAATCAACGTTTTCTACAATAACCTGAAGCATTCTTACTTGCAAATGAGGTAGCAGTCAAAAATGTAATTGTCATTTTATTTTAACAATTAATACATGAACAAACACAAAGATGTGACAGACACACTACTGACAATAATAATTAAATGAATACTTGGACCACCACACCACATTGCTTTGTACTCGTTATTATACCATAACAGCAATACTAATCAAATGAGGTCCAGTTTAAAAACAATAGTTTGCTACATATTGTAGCAGTTAAAGGGATAAACATGTACATAGAAAAACATTCTGGAAGTGGAGTTTCTTGAAACACTATCAAGAAGTAACATAGTATACAGTACCTTTTGATCCCATTTCAGCTGACATTTTTGGTGAATAGGAAAATAAATCCTTGGTTTGTCACCTTGATCCAATTGCTCATCTCCATCATCTGTCAAAAATAAAATCAATCAAAATGATATCTTGTCACATCAGACATAGAATTTCAGTTAAGTTTAAACAGACACATCAACAATTACATAACAAGTACCATACAATAAAATTAGCATACAGTACCATCATCAGCAGTAGATTTTCTTCTGACAGATGCTCTTGTGGTTCTTGTCACTCTTGGTCTCGCTTTAGGACGACCACGAGCACTTTTTGACTTCAGTTTTAATGGAATGTTCCTTCGAACAGCTGGCGATCCAGGGTTGTCATTTTCTTCAGCTTCTAACTCAAATCCTTTAATGACAATAACTTATTCAAATAAGAACTGCATGCATGATTGCAAATGGATAGTGTATAATACCCATTGCACTGCCATGCTATAATTCCCTAGTCAATGTCCCCCACCTCAGACAATAAGGGCAGATGTAAGACATTAGACTTCACCATTAAATTAAGCACAGGGGTTACGGCAATTAAATGCCACATTTAATAATGTTCCAATGTCACTATGCAAATTTCACAATTTATTAAATAAGGCATTTTTGGTGTGGAATTGCCTGATGTTTATGCCCTAGGGAAAGAAGAAATTGTCAAATGTCACAAAAATGTTGTCCAACTTAAACCTGTGGGGTAGGAATCTGAGAATGACATTAATAATGCTGCAGTCAATGTAATCCTTACCCCACCCACCCCTGGGCCCTTTGGGGAAAATATAGGAGACTGGCTGGGTTTCACTATTAAATATGGCCCGGGGGGGATGTGACGATTGATTCATTCGTTTATCTGAACATGGAATTTATCAACCAATCTTGTACAAGATTGCTCGTTTTCAGTATGGATTTGCCTGGTTTACTTGCTCCAGGGGTAGAAGACCTGTCACAACATTAATCTCCCTACACACTAAGCCCCGGGACGGTGCATCATAAAACAGTGCACTAATTAGGTTTATTACTACTGCACAACTGTAGTTACTATTTATGTAACTTAATCATATATTCAATTGCAGTGTTTGAAATACTGGAACTACATATTTACTATATTTATGTCGTGATTTGTTATGTACGGGCATGGTCGGTTTTCTCGAGATCGGACGATTTGTAACGTAGGGAGTGTTGAAATTGTGCGTGACTAATGAGCCAGCAGTATGTCTTACACTATTAGGACAAGCGTACACCATCAAGAGCACTAATACAGTTGACCAATAATCTTACAATTATAAATATACACTGAAATAGAGCCACGAATAATTCCACTCACCTCCGTCCGCCATTTTTGGTGATCTCGACCGCATATCGATACGCTTAGCTGTAACAAGCCTTCTGATTGGTCAACTTATGCAAGATCACTTCTGATTGGTACTCGGTGAAATGTAGAAAAAATGGCGACGACCATGGGAAAAAACTTGCGATCATGCAAACTCGTTTTCTTCTGAAACGCGCCACGAAAACTATATGAGTCTCTTGTTTCTTTTATTCGTATCATAGTGTAGCAGCAACTTTCATTCAAAATAATCCCAGGAAGTAGAAAACGTAAGCGACCGGTGTTGCTCGCCCGACCATTCGACCGGAAAACTACCACCGCAAGCATGGCGACGTCACCGGCAGAAAACACTGCGACGGTCGATACTGTGACGGGGTTCAGTGAGCTGAATGCAGCAGAAAATCCACAATCCCAAGAAGGTCGTCCGAAAAGAAGAAAAGAACAAATGGCCACTGCAATGTCAGAAACACCGGCTAACTCAAATTCCGGTACGTACGATCACCGAAACAGTGAATAAGTACTGAGAAATAATTTTAAAAGTGAATAAGTACTGTTTGGACAGATCCCGAAGGCTGAAAGAGGCACCCCAGCAAATGGCAATGCGACCTTGAAACATTGACAGTGAAATCCTAATGTTAAAAGTTGTTACTGTTGTTTGGTTGGTACAGATTCAATATTTAAACATGGTTTAATTGTTTAATAATAATTTGATTCATCTGAAACCCAATGTAGTAGGCCATCACTAAACCATTAAAGATAAATATCAATTAAACCATGGAGCTAATAATCTATTATTCTTATCTCCATCATTACACTCAATCAAATTGTAATCCTATATAATTATGCAATTTATTTTGATTCAATTAAGTTACCATATTATATAAAAATGTAATTTAATTAAGATTTTATTGAACTCAATTAATATGCAATCCTATATAGAATTTCTTGCACACTTTCATATTTATATACATGTTATCATAGAGGTCACTTCCCAAGTGGCATTTCACAACATGCTTGCTATTATCATGGAGTTAGCTCCATGCTATTAGAAACATTTGGGTTTACTCAAGTAAACAACCTTGATTAAAACATTATGTAATATAAAAAATATATGAAAACTTTTAACAGAAATTGCACATGTTTATTAGATAAACATTGAAACTAATAAATAGTTTTCACCTCGCTGTTGACAAAGTCAACAGCTGAGCTGTTCATATTACTGACTGTCCACCATCGTCAACTTTGCATTTTTGACTTCTTCTTGAAAATGGCAAGGCAGCTTGCTGTGATAATTTACATAAATATGACATTTTGCAGATTTGTTCATTTCATGTAGATATCTTTGATAAATATTTTTGACTTCTTCTTGAAAATGGTAGCCCAATTGCTTCAATATTTTATATGTAGACATCTTGAGTATATATATATATTTGTTTATTTTGTGACGCTACCTTCAATTCTCTAATTTTAGTGAATTTTAGTCATTTTTGGTAAAAAATGTTGTTTTCAACTGTCTAACTATACAGCATAGTTACATGTATATCAATTAAAAATTAAATTTTCTGAAAATACATATGATCAATGTTCATTATATTTGTGGCTACAAAGTCATAAATGATGTCATGGCAAAAGTCATGTGGCCAGTGGGAACAGTGTTAATGACTAAACAAATGGTTTAGGGTATACATGTACAAAATAAATACTACAGTGCTATACATGTATAGGATGTGGAAACGTCCCTATGTCACTCATTGCAAGTCGTATATGACATATGATCTGTCTAATAGTAGAAACAAATCTAAGAGTATGCTACAGTTACAATACTATTTGTCATACATGTACTAGCACTACAAATATGGATGACCCTTAATGAACATTTTCTTTAATAACTAATTTGTTATGCAAAGTAATTGATTATGTAGGACAACCTACATGTAACAACAAAATTTTTTCCATGTGTTTCAGGATCACAATATTTTGCACAGGACTTTTTTACTTTATTTATCTTATTTATTTATCTAGTACAATTTCTTTTTTCAATCAGTAATTAGTTAATATCGAGTCACCTAATGTAACATACAATTTTTGCAGACTTAGTGATAAATGTCACACTCAAAGCGTTTGTAGGTAGTACCAGTTGTAAAATGTGAGCTTTGTATCACTTTGTTTTTTCAAACAAAAGTTTTCATTAATAAACTTCCTAATTAAAAACTGTCTTTCAACAGAGTCAGAGCCAGAGTATGTAATTAACCATGCTAAGTACAATTGGTTTGAAAAGGTAAGCAGATTGAAGATATAAAGTATGGTTTCATTTCAGTGCTTTTTGACAAAATCAATGATATGTTCAATAATAGACACAAATGCTTTACACATAGTTTATATGTTTTATCATACATGTACATTTTGGCAGGCATTTGTTTTAAGTTCTGATTCCAAATGGATGGCTCATTTCAGTTGTCTTTATTACATAGTACAGATAGACCAATAAACCAAATAAACCAATAACCAGTGCGTTAATGAAGACATTTTGGCTCATGGTCTGATAAACACATGTAATAACCATATATGTTCATGTGACTGAAATGTCATATCTGAAACAATATTACACACTAGATCAGATTTAGATTCTTATCAACAAATTTGTTCATGTGACTTCATGCATAAATATCATATCTGGAGCACTGTTGTAAATCTTCGTAATTAAAAATGCTGGGAATTCTGCCATCTCTCAGTCTGATGACATTATTTGTAAGTAGCATATTTAATTACATGTAATTGCAATTCTTGCTGATACAGGGTTCTGATACAATGGTAGTGAATTTCTACATCAAGGAAGTAGACGAGAATGCACTAAATGTTATATTTGAAGAGGAGAAACTGATTATCAAGTTTAAAACTAGGTACCACTTCATTTTACGTCTGATAGATGCACATGCACACCAAAAGTGTGGTTTTGATTTTTACTGCAATTCACAGCCTTCATTGTTGTCTTGTGTGTTATTGATTCACACCTTTGAAGTGTTCTATTTGACAAATATCTGTAATGTGTACAAGTACTGTGTAGATTTAACTGATATCTTAATACTGTATAACCGAAAAGTTTGTTTCTATTCACAGAGATACACAGTTTTTGAATCTGCATTCTCCAAGTTCACCAAACACTCTTTTTTCCTGGAAAGTACGAATGATGTAAGTATACAATGAATCTGTAATTAGTCTGGAATATCATTAGGAAAATGTTTAAAAAAAAGACATGGTTTAAAATTATATTGTGTAGCAGTGCATGTTGTTGATGATGACACTGTAAATTCTGATTCTTGTTTCTAGGAAATCTATTCATCCAGAACAGTCCAGATATCGAGTAACCAGATCATTCATTGACATTTCTCTAATCAAACAAGTACCAGAAAAATGGGGTTCCTTGGAGGCACCTGTCGTTCATAGTAAGAGAATTACATGTCTTAATTGACTAAATTGTTGCTATGGCAATTTATACCACTTCTGGTGCAGTTGGTTATTTGATGTATAATACAGATATCCTACTGTAATGTATGTGATTGCATTTTTTACTTTAACATCTCACTCCAATAACCTAGAAAGCAATCAGTAAGTAAGGCATTCATCAAAAACAAAATTAATTTAAAAGTAAAAAACAATTCCAAAAAAAAAATCTTTTCCTCATATCATGGGATTTTGAAAATGATGCAGTAAAAATGAGGTACACCGGTATTATTTAGTGTACAGAAAACTAAAAGCAGAAACAACAAGCCATTCCCGTTTGTTATCAAATTTAAGATATATAGTTTTGTTTATAGTAATATAGTTGGAACATAATCATGTCAGAAGCATGGATCCAGAATATGATGCTTGATTATGGTGATTTTTTTAACATTAAAATGCTACATCTTGTATCTGATCGTAAAATGAGTACTTGTCCATATTAGAAAATATCGCTCTTGAACAGCATTAAATAAAACAAAATGGCCACCAGTCAGTCATTTTGAATACATCTGTATATCTATAACATGATGTAAAACGAATATATAAAATTTGAACATAATCAGTGTAAGCATATCAGAGATATGGCTCTAGAAGTGCATTCATTTAAACAAAATGGTCGCCAGTCAGCCATTTTAAATCCGATCTGAAAAATAAAATGACGTGCATCAGGAACCCATAATCTCTAATGTATGCACCAAGTTTGAACAAAATCCATCCATAAACGCCAAGATCCAGTTCTGGAATGCCAGAAATGCTTGATTTTTGATGATTTTTTAAATATAGCTAAATCACTACAAATATCTGAATTGATTGGGAATAATATAGAATTCAATTCAATTTTGTATTGTATTTGAGATGAAAGCAACAATACCAAAGCTTTATAATTATTTGATAAGCTAAAGTAAGCACAATTTGTGCTCCATGAAAATTAAATGGTGAAACAAAATGGCGCCCACATAAAATACAGTCATTCAGCAGACTATGGTTGAACACTACAAAGAGACATATTTATATGTTTTATATACTAACCGTTAGTCTTTGGGTGTTTGTCAACCCAAAATTGTAGTGAGAATAAACCATTGAATATAGGCATCTATATTTACCATGCCGTGTTGCACCCAGCATGCAAGGAACAAGGTAAAAATGAAGTAACCATGCAGGAATCATTCACGTATTTGGTTTAAAAATCCATGATGAAGTTTGCTGATATTATTCTAAACTTCTTGGATTTCGGCATTCCCATGATGTATCCTTGGAAGGAAAAGATGTATAATAATAAGGTACCGCTGTATGAAGACAGTACAGCGGTAGTATCGACCGACACGCAGCGGAGGTCAATGCAACTGCATACTGAGTGCATATTTTGAGGTACATGTATCCTCGTAATAAGCTCATATTATGTCTTGTCTTTTAAACAAATGTAAACAAAATCTGCAAAAGTATATCTGAGAAATGAGTGGAAAACTGGTAAAAAAAAAAAATTGCTGCCAGTCGGCCATTTTGAATCAGATCACAAATCAAATTGACATGCATCAGTAACCCACTATGATTGATGTCAATACCAAGTTTGAATGAAATCGAGAAATATTGTTCAACATATGGTCGAAACAAAAAAGTCAAAAACTTAAGTCCCTGTTTCAGAATTCATCTGACTGGGACTAAAAAGACAATAATATACTGTATATGTAACGCTAACAATAAAAGCAAGTTTGGCAATATTAATTAGAAGGGTATCATGATGATGCCTGAAAGTATGGTCTCAGTATGGAATCACATCATGTATCAGTTGATACCACCACTGCACTGCCTTAGCTGAAGTTGTTGCCATCCTGTACTGCCAGAGTGTATTAATGAACTTGGCTCTACTTGACTACAGTTTATATTGTTACAAACATTTATCATATATGCAAGTCACATCATGTGAATGAATCTCTTAAATATTATGTAACATGAGTAAGTCTGAAATCATATTGAGATAAATTGTTTACAATTGTGTATTTTTTTTTTCAGTTCCATTTTTGGAACATGCCTGGGATCAAAATGAGAAGCAAGTATTCATCAGGTTGAAAATTGGTCCTGGTATTCCCCAAGATGCTATTGATATTGAGGTTACAGATGATGATTGTAATGTTAAGCTTCAAGGTAATGTATTAACTATTGAAATGTCACATACTTTTTACACTTGGAGAGGTCTATTGTCTTTAAGCTATAGGGAAGAAATGTGTTAACTGCATATTGGATTTTGCAAAGAATTGTGGGATAGAAAATTGTTTGAAGAGAGGTTAACAGTTGATTTTAGTTAATATTTAGTATGGGAAAGAGATGACCGTCCCTCTCCCACCAAAAAAACGCCCTCTATAGTTCAATTTTCTACCCCACAATCCTTCGAAAAATCCAATACGGAGTTAACACATTTCTCTCCGGTATTGGAAAAGCACCAATATCATAATCTCAGTGTTAATGTGTCATAGGAATCTGAGAAGGAACACATGGTATACTTATAAAAAAATCAAGGATTTAAACTTTTTGGTTTACCATTTACATACTCTATTGTTGTTAACCATTGCTGCTTGATGTATATTTCTTCCAAAGATGGCAGACGGTGGTACTGCAAATTTTATCGAGAAGTGAATAGATCTTCCTCCTCAGTTACTATGAGGAAAGACAAGTTAGAAATCAGATTGACGAAAAAAACTGTTTGTGAAGAATGGTCATCTTTAGAGGTAAATAATGCTGCTATATCTGTGAGAGTAGGTAACATAGCTAGCCATGTTAAAGCTTAAAAAAATCAAGCCTAACAAAGCTATCAGTACTACCATTCAGGTCAGCTGTATCGGTAGTTGCAAATACGAATAAATAAATATGTAAAATAGCTATTCAAATTGGAGCTTGAAAAACTGAGCTACTATTTAGGTCAGCTCTATTGGTGCTTGCAGCATTACTCAAACATTAACTGTAGCCATGCACTGAATACAAATAAATAAATACTATTGTTCAATTTGTGTAGAACCTTCCTAAATTTTAAAGATATTCTGTTATAGGAGTATTTAATATTTTGTGAAAAAGATTGCTGTATGATTTATTAATGTGTGCCTTGTTCTACTGTTTAATTTTGGTATGAGCGAGCAATTAGTTTTGCAACAAACCATATTCATCAATAAATTCAACGTTGAAAAAGTAGATTGTGTCTATGGTTAATGAATTTTTGTACAATTCCACAGTGCAATCCAGTGCAAAATGATGATGATGATGATGACGATGACAACAGTAGTAGTGTGGTCTATGGAGCCAGTGGTGGAGCCCCTGAGGAATCGAGTGCACCACTGGATGAGATATCAGGTCTGTCAGTTTTATGTGAGATCAAATTAAATCAATACCATTGCTTTATTGATCTCGTATACCGATACAATATCATAAAACTGGTCTACATGCACTTCTATTTGAGCTGTATTTCTAATAGAGCAAATACTGTACATGCATATACAAATATTTGTTGAAAAAACATCAGTCATTATTTTCTTGAAACTTATGTTGTTGGAATATGATTTATTTTTTTATCGCAAAAAGTATATCTCTTTTTTCTACAAATAATAGTAGTGAATTTATTAAGGCCCCATAAACATGTATAGTTTTGATATCCTGACTCTACCTATTTATGCCTATTTATTTATTCAAAACTTTTTTCGCCAAATGTGAGAAAATCCATGAAAGAATTTGAAATGAAATGGTGCTATGAAGATATTTTTATCACAATGTTGCACTATACTATATGAATTACCCGTATGACTTTGTAGGATTGTTAAACTTCTGAGCAGCAAAGTCAAATTCAGGCACCATGAAATGTTTGAGATTGAATTAAATTATAGAACATGTGAGCAAAATTCACACAAATTTTAGCTGGAAAAAAATATTGTGCTAAAAGGGGTTAAAAGTGTTAAAAGGGGGTGCTTACTTACCTGTGTAGGTAGTACCAGTTGTCAAACGATAGCTTTGTATCACTTTGTTTTTTCAAACAGAAGTTTTTATTAATAAACTTCCTAATTAAAAACTGTCTTTCAACAGAGTCAGAGCCAGAGTATGTAATTAACCATGCTAAGCACAGTTGGTTTGAAAAGGTAAGCAGATTGAAGATAAGTATGGTTTGATTTCAGTGCTTTTTGACAAAATCAATGATATGTTCAATAATAGACACAAATGCTTATATGTTTTATCATACATGTACATTTTGACAGGAAATTACTTATTGTAACTTTGGCCATTCAGAATAACAAACAGGGTGTGATTAAACCAATATACAGTTTTAATGACTTCCAGTATTGTGTTCGTGATATAATTCAGTGCCTTATTAAAAACATTTGGCTCATGGTCTGATAAACACATGTAATAACCATATATGTTCATGTGACTGAAATGTCATATCTGAAACCATATTACACACTAGATCTTATCAACAAATTTGTTCATGTGACTTCATGCATAAATATCATATCTGGAGCACTGTTGTAAATCTACGTTCAATTATGGCTTATAATAAAAATGCTGGGAATTCTGCCATCTCTGATTACATTATTTGTAAGTAGCATATTTAATTAATTGCAATTCTTGCTGATACAGGGTTCTGATACAATGGTGGTGAATATCTATATAAAGGAAGTGAACGAGAATGCACTACATGTTATTTTTGAAGAGGAGAAACTGATTATCAAGTTTAAAACTAGGTACAACTTACTTCATCTTAATCAATCTGTCGAGGCACACATAGATATACATGCACACCAAAAATGTGTTTTTCATTTTTACTGTAATTTACAGTCTTCAGTGTTGTCTTACTTCTGTGTTATTGACTCACACCTTTGAAGTGTTCTATTTCACATATATCTGTAATGTGTACAAGTACTGTGTAGAATTAAGTAGATTTACAATTTTAATATCATATAACGACCAAGTTTTTGTTTTTCACAGAGATACACAGTTTTTGAATCTGCGTTCTCCAAGTTCACCAAACACTCTTTTTTCCTGGACAGTACAAATGATGTAAGTATACAATGAATCTGTAATGAGTCTAGATATGTGGTTTAAAATAATATTTTGTAGCAGTGCATGCTGTTCTTGATGACACTGTAAATTCTTATTCTTGCTTCTAGGAAATCTATTCATCCGGAACAGTCCAGATATCGAGTAACCAGATCATTTATTGAAATCTCCCTTATCAAACAAGTACCAGAAAGATGGGGTTCCTTAGAGGCACCTGCCATTCATAGTAAGAGAATTACACATGTCTTAATTGCTTTCTCTGCCAATATCTACAAATTTTGATTCTTTCCACCATATATTGCACCTGAAAAATCAATTATCATTTCACCATTTGTAGCCCTTTAAAATGAACAGAACTACTTCATTTGTGTTCTTATTAGTGCATGTGTTTTCCCAAATAACAGGTGTGGTGTGTGACTGGTAATATAAAAACTTAATATATGTATGTAATTCAATTACTTGTAATTTTTGGTTTATATACACACTGGCGGTTACTACCCAAATTTGCAAATATTTTTAAAATCACAGCCTTAGTCTCACTACAGTGTTTATGGCAGTAATTACCGGTAAGTCTCAGATATAGATATATAAATGAAATGAAATCAATATTGATTTGTATACAGGCATCATCGGTATGAAGAACTATCTAGCATATTTATGGCATATGCCATGCTAATATAAGTGAAAGATTAAATAAAAATAAATGCTTTTTATGAAGTGTCGTGGTGATAACTTTTAATAACCATTTTAAATCAGAAAAGGAAAAGCAGAACACCCAAAATTTTACATGTAGAACCAAATTTTGAGGAAAATAGCTTGAAAGAAAATTCACACATTTTTGATGCAATACATTTTGTGGTGTATTGTATAAATTGACGGTCACTGAGTGTTCCCTCTTAATTCACAAGAAATCAACATCGAGCATACACAGGTGCAACACTGAGGACAAAGGGATTATAATTTTTAATGTATGTTTAACTGAATAGCTTGACCAATCAATTCTGTGCAGTTTGATTTAAAATCACCCATATCATTACTGTACAAAGTTTATTCTGAGGTCAAAATGTTATTAAAACTTGTCTTGAAATTTGAAGAACAATGCCAGACTGCTACAGGATTATACAGAGTTTCTTGTTACACTAATATTCTAACAACTTTTTGTCAACACATTTGACACAGTGTTGAACACATGATTTTTGGCTTTCAAGAAAGAATAAAGGCATTTACCTCCAAAATTACTAGTTCAAAATAGTTACATTGTACATTTTATATTGTGAAATTATCTATCACTTGATGACAATGTCTGATCAACAAGATGTTATAATAATGAGATTATAATGCAACAAGAGAAATTTAACACCTCCTAGCCTAATTAATAGTTGTCACTGCTACCATTTTAGAGTTTGAATGAAAAAAATATGCAAATGAACGATGCATTCGTCAGACTGTATATGTACTTCTGCTTCTAATAGTCAACTGGAATACAATAGATTTAATAAAGATTGTGTTTATTATTAGCTGCAGTTCCTGGCAGACAAACTCAAACGGGTAAATGGACGCCAATGACAAGATCAAAGAACCCACTTAAAGGTAAAGAAAACGATGGTGATTCAAGCAAGAACTCTGGTCCCTCATCATCCGGATATGGTTCCTTAGCTAGCACAAGTAGTGGCGATTCAGGCAGCAGTGCAATAGACAACAGATTTCGAGTTACAACTCATTATTTGAACAAACCTCAAGAATTATCCGTAAGTGTTTCCATAGCAACCCTTTATGTTATTGCCATGACATTACAGTCCATATTTATAGTGGTGGGGCATTTTGAAACAACTGTAGTTCCAGGGTCATATCTATGACATGCTTTGACCAATCACATTAAAACTTCACACATACATTACATAACTTATCATATCATACATAAGCGTATGGATTTGTGATCCAATTCAAGATGGCTGAAAGAGCTAAAAATTAATCAAAATCAAAATCTGTCATTCAGAACATATTTTATTAAAACTTGGTATGTCCATTAAAATTGAACATAATGAGTCCTGATTGTCATTGTGTTTTCTACAAATGCTGTTTTTGGAGCCATATAGCTAACATGGCTGGGATGTTTATGTTCAAATTTTATACATACATCAGATTACACATTTGCACATGCATCTGTTTCAAAACCTGATTCAAGATGGTGATCATCATTTTCATAATAGAAATGCATTATAAATGTCGTTGTCAAAATAAAGAAAGGAATTACACAAATAAACTGGTTCCACTTTGTATGTCTATTATATGAATGTAAATAATCATTTGGCACTAACGTTGACAGTCACTAAAAACTGAACGAGGGCTTGTCATTGACAATGACTTGTTTCTTCTTTCAATGTGATAGGTAATGTGTGTCTTTTTTTTATCAGAAACCAATGTGTATGGTGTCCCCATTGTCCAAGAATAAAAGTACCAAAGACCTAGAAATAGTTTGCAAGCAAGGTTTTACTGGGCTGGATAATTTAGGAAATACGTGCTTTATGAACAGTGTTTTACAAGTGCTAAGCAACACTCGGGAATTCAAGGACTACTTTTTAGGTTTGTATAAATATTTATTGTATTGACTGATTCAGACAAATATAAACAAACTAATCAATGTTAGGGATGTACATTTGATGTGTTGAAAAGGTTTTACCACCACAATCAATATATTGTTTTACTTTAGTAAGGATTGGACTCTTTCTTATTATAGATATACATCTACTGAATTGAGATAAAAATGTTGTACTGCACTTTTCATGTCCTATATCTATATTGTGTACTCCATGATTGTTAACAATTGCCTTTCCAACACAGTGCAAGCCCCTACATACAGCATTTTTGTAACTCATACAACTTCTTCCTGTTGACAATTATCTTTTTGATTAGGAAGGGTAAGCAATCCTAAATTCAAGTTAAAATTAATATCAAAATATCAGAATGTATGAGGAGGAAAAAGCAGCCAAGTATATGGTTGGGCAGATGGGGTGAACAGTCAGTGTGCTGAAATTGACATTACAGTATGATATTCTGGATTAGATTTCACATTGTTGTTAAGTGAAATCATTATTATTGTTATTTGTTTCCAGATTCTAATCTCAAAGATGAAATCAATCATGACAATCCACTTGGTACTGGTGGTCATCTGGCGCTGTCCTTTGCTGTGCTGATAAAAATATTATGGTCTGGTAAATATCATTCCTATGCACCATCAAAACTCAAGGTAAGTAAGCCATTGTACCTACTACTAAATATGTCTTGGTCATAGTGTTCTAGACATCAGTATTTATTCT